TACACTCCTTTTCCTTTCCTTTCCCTTCCTTCTTTCACTCCCCTTCCTTTCCCTCCCCTTCCTCGCTTACGTCTTCCCCTGGCGTCAGCGGGGGCGTTTTTTCGACTCCACTCGCGCGCGCTCTGGCCGCGAGGCTGGCCAACGCCTGACGGCAGCGCACTGTAGAACATGCACACGGCGCCTTCCCCCGAATGAGGGAACCCTGAGCTTGTGGCGAGCATTCTGCACACGCAGTGGGCCCAAGAGGCACCGAACCCTGTGATTTCACAGGGATGCTTGGGATTTCTGGGATGTTAATCCCACAAACCCTATGATTTCACAGGGGTGCCTGGGATTCCTGGGATGTCCTACCTCCGACAATAATCTACCCAGGGCCCCCCCCCCTTCCCCAAGGCCGCGAATCCCAAGCATCCCTGCGAATTCACACGGATGCTTGGGATTCGGAATCCTGGGGAGCTTCAGGGTGGAATTGTGTCGGAGGGTGGAGAATCCCAGGAATCCCAAGCATCCCTGTGCAATGACACGGTTTCTGGGTTTTTCATACCAGAAATCCCAAGCATCACAACGAAATCACACGGTTCGGTGCCTCTTGGGCCGCATCTCCCATGCATTCGCGCCGCATCTCCCATGCAGCCGCTCAGTTCGTTCCCGCGTCACTGTGTGTAGTGCGCATGCTTTTCCCTGCGTGGCATGCTGCAGCGTGCCCCGATTCCTTCTCTTAGTTTTCCTCAGCCTTCTCCCCCTCCCCCCCTCCTCCGCCTCCTCCTCCCCCTCCTCCTCCTCTTCGTCTGCCTCGCCCTTCCCGTCCGCCCCCTCCGGGGCCCAAGAGGCACCGAACCGTGTGATTTCATTGGGGTGCTTGGGATTTCTGGGATGAGAAACCCAGAAACCGTGTCATTTCACAGGGATGCTTGGGATTCCTGGGATTCTCCACCCTCCGACACAATTCCAACCTGAAGCTCCCCAGGATTCCGAATCCCAAGCGCCCCTGTGAATTCACAGGGATGCTTGGGATTCGCGGCCTCGGGGAGGGGGGGGGGGGGCCTGGGTAGATTATTGTCGGAGGTAGGAAATCCCAGGAATCCCAGGCATCCCTGTGAAATCATAGGGTTTGTGGGATTAACATCCCAGAAATCCCACGCATCCCTGTGAAATCACAGGGTTCGGTGCCTCTTGGGCCCACTGCGTGTGCAGAATGCTCGCCACAAGCTCAGGGTTCCCTCATTCGGGGGAAGGCGCCGTGCGCATGTTCTACAGCGCGCTGCCGTCAGGCGCTGGCCAGCCTTGCGGCCAGAGCGCGCGCGAGTGGAGTCGAAAAAAACGCCCCCGCTGACGCCAGGGGAAGATGTAAGCGAGGAAGGGGAGGGAAAGGAAGGGGAGTGAAAGAAGGAAGGGAAAGGAAAGGAAGAGGAGTGTAGAACATCGCCAAGAGAAAGAAGGCGATGAATGGGTGCTGGGGGGGGGGGGGCTGTCCATATATATATATATATATATATATATATATATATATATATATACAGGTATATGGATATATATATATATACACTTATGTATATATATATATGTATATATAAACATATGTGGGTATATATATACACACACGCGTGTATGGTTAGGTGTAGAATACCTTTTATGTGCATATGTATATGTGTATCTTCTGGCGTCGTCATTCGTCCGATACGTGGCCATCGGACTTCTCGACCCCTTCCCGGGGACCTGTGTTTCATTTTATATTGCTTTTGATTGTGGCCCAGGCCCGAAACCGACCATCCCGGAGGGCGACATCAAATGAACATGCCGGATGGCATTAGCATGGCGACGGAACCCAACCTTCTGCAGCTGCGAGTGACGCAGGATATGGCCCACTCTTTGCCGAAATCGGGCGGTGGCGCCACGCGGGCCTTGCCACTGGTGCCTTAGGTGGAGATCCCTATGGGGCCACGTGTGAGGGGTGTGCCGAAAAATGATGGTGCCGACATGCGGGCAACTGGAACCTTCGGTGGAGATTTATCTGGGGCCACGAATCACGTGAGGGGTGTGCCGGCATGGAGGGCCATGCGAGCCTTGCCATTGGAGCCTTCTGGGGCCACGAAGCGTCTGAGGGGAGTGCCGAATTATGGGAGGGTGCGCCATGCTGCCCCTGCCATTGGGGCCGTAGGTGGAGCTCCTTGTTGGGCCACGAAGCATGTGAGGGGTGTGCCGAATTGGTATCTGGTGTGCCTGGCGGGTCTTTCCCCTGGGCCCTTCTGTGGAGCTCCTTGTAGGGCCACGAAGCGTGCGATGGGCGTGACTGATGGTGGTGATGCGGCTGATGCTGCTGATGATGATGCTGCTGATGATGATGATGCTAATGCTGATGCTGATGATGATGATGATGATGCGGATGATGATGATGATGACGATGATGATTGAAACTTTGGGGTGATGTTGATGATGCTGATGCTGATGACGGTGGTAATGCTGATGAAGGTGATAGGAGGACAATGGGTGTGAGGAGAGGGAGAAGAGAGGAGGGGGAGGAGGAGAGAGGAGACGCGGGGCGCTGCGTGCTCAACACGAGGGCTCAACACCACAGGATCAGTCGCGGAGGTCTGGGAATGTCTGGCCCAGCCCTTCGGTGCTCCTGGCCCCCGAAGCTCAAGAAGCGCAGTGCTTGCCGTTATCCGCATTCTTCTTCTCCTTCTTCTCAGAGATTGGCCGAGGCCCAATCTGTTTCATGCGCCTTTGCCGACTCCACTCTGGGAATCGATTCCCAGTGATTCCCAGGGCTCATAGAGTAGTGAGCCTGCCAATGCGCAGTACGTACATTTTCCGACCAGCGTGTATGTTGCATGTACCTAGGTCACCCAAGCAAGGGGCGCGAAGATGACCATGCTTCAAGCATCGCGGCCTGGGCTGGCGACGCGCCCTTCTCCAGGGCGGCGGCGCGAGGGCGCGAAGGTAACCGCGCACTGCAGGGCGCGATGCGCGAAGTCAGGTGGCCTACCGACCCTGATCAGGCCCATCCTGAGCCCAGGATTGGTGCAGATGCCCCCCTGACCAAGCTGGGAGGGCGTGCGCCGATCCTAGGCCATGCACCGTGCAGCCCTCCGCTCTCACAAGACCCCACAATCCGACGTCGCGAGTCAAATTCAACATGGCAGAAAATCGCGGCCAGAGCCCTAGGCTTGCAAGGCTCGCTGCCAGTGTTGTGGCCTCCGCGAGCGCAGATGCACGGACAGTCACGATGTACCCCACGATGCGCGGACAGTCACAGGGACGCCGACGACGACGACGACGATTGTGAAGATATTGTGGGGACGTTCTGGAGAGCTACCAAGCCGTTGGATAACACAGGGCAGCGAACCTTACGACCCTACGCCCAACGTTTTTCCAGCATCTTTTGAGCCAGAGCAGTCTGTGCTGGCCCCAGGGCCCGTCCCTGGGCGATGACGCTCAGCGTGAACAAAGCTGCAGAGACCGGATATGTGAAAGAGCGTGTTCTGCCGCTGCTGGCGGAAAACCGGGGGGGGGTCACTGGAGGTTCCCAACCCGTCCCCCCCCCCCTCGAAAAAGCAGGGGGGGGTCAATACCGGTTCGAACCCCCGCCCCCGTGGTCCATCATGAAAAGGAGGGGGGTCACTACCTGTTCGAACCCCCCCCCTCGAAAACCAGTGGGGCTCACTACCGGTTCGAACCCCCCCCCCTCGCCGCCGGCAAACGATTCCCGCTCCTCGGGACAGTTGGACAGTGGTGGGGATATTGGGACAGTGGTGAGAAAGGTGGTCGTGGGGACAGTGACAGTGCTGCGGGGACAGTGGGACAGTGGTGCGGACAGTGGTGGGGACAGTGGTGGTGGGGACAGTGGTGTGGGGACAGCGGAACAGTGGTGGGGACAGTGGGACAGTGCTGAGGACGGTGGTGGTGAGGACAGCGGTGAAGGCGGTGGTGAGGAAGGTGGTGGGACAGTAAGTAGTACAGTGGGGCGAGTGGTGGGGACAGTGGGGACAGTGGGACAGTGGTGGGGACAGTGGGACAGCACAGTTGGATAGCGGCGGGGACAGTGGGGACAGTGGCGGGCACAGTTGGGACAGTGGGACAGTGGTGGGGACCGTGGGGAAAGTGGGGAGAGCGGGACCGTGGTGGGACAACGGTGGGGAGAGGGGGGACAGTGAGACTCTGGTGGGGGCACTGGTGACGACAGCGGGGACAATGGCGGGAACTGTGGGGACAGTGGGACAGTGGTGGGGACTCTGGGACAGTGGTGGGGACGGTGGTGTGGGGACAGTGGGAACGTGGTGGGGACAGTGGGACAGTGGTGGGGACAGTGGTGGTGGGGACAGGGGTGAGGGCGGTGGCGAGGACGGTGGTGGGATAATGGGACAGAGGTGCAGTGGGGACAGTGGTGGGGACAGCGGGGACAGTGTTGGGAACAGTGGGACAGCTCAGTGGGACAGCGGCGGGGACAGTGGGGACAGTGGTGGGCACAGTGGTGGGAACAGTGGTGGGGACAGTGGGGACAGTGCGACAGTGGTGGGGGCAAAGGTGGGGACACTGGGGACGGTGGTGGGAACAGTGGGGACAGTGGTGGTGAGGACAGTGGTGCTGGGGGCTGCAGTGGGGGATGTGGTGCGAACGGTGGTAGGGACCCGGAAGTCGTTTGCTGGCGGTGAGTGGGGGGGTGTTCGAACCAGTAGTAGTGACTCCCCCTGGTTTTCTGGAGGGGGGGGGGGATTCGAACCGGCAGTGACCCCCCCTCGGTCTTCTGGAGGGGGGGGGGAGAGGGGTTCGAACCAGTAGTGACCCCCCCCCCCGGTTTTCCAGAGGGGGGGGGGGTTAGGGGAGGGGATCGGTTTTGCCGGGGGGAAGGGTGGGGGGGGGTCCAGCAGGGGAGGGGGGGATTTTCGGAGGGGGCGGGGGGGAACCCCCGGGCTCCGGAGCCGGAGGAAGAGGGGGTGGCATTTTCCAGAGAAGAGCGGCGGTGGATCACGCTCGCTCGTGACGGGGCCCGCTCCCCAGAGGTCCGGCCCCCCGGCGGTGCTCCTGTCCTCCAACTGCCGCGTGGCACGAGGGGGCAGCGCGGTGGAGGAGGATCGGCTAGACGTAAGAGTACGGTAGGTTTGCGTCGTGTCGACCAGCGGCGACCCCAGCGCGGGCGTTCAAGGTTGAACGCCGCCGGCGACCCAGAATCGGTCGATGTTGAACGATCGGACGTTGCGGCAGCGGCCGATCGTTCAAGGTTGAGCGATCCAGCGCGGTGTCAAAAACCAACGCCGGGGTCGACACGACGCGAACCTGCCGTAAGAGTAACCCTTCGCCAGAGTGACCTTTGGTGCGGGCCCATTGGGGTCACCCGATCGCCGAACGCGAGGCGGCAGTGGCGTCTGGCGCGTTTGGATTTGACCACCTCGCGCCCCCTGAGTTCGCGCACCAAAGCTCACGCTTACCCAGGGTCACTCTGGCGTGTAGCCGAGAGGAGGCGGCGCTCGGCGGCGGCGTCTCGCCCAAGGCGCAGCTATTGCACTGCCCCAGGGAAGCGCCCGTGGCGGTGCTGACCATCCCGAAGTGCGGGACGACGTACCCTCTAGACCTTTGGGCGGGTCCGAGCAGATGGAGTCGGCGGATCGAGCTGCATCGGCGATGCATCGCCGATACAGCTCGATGCGGAGCCCGGCTTTCTTGACGGCGACGTCGCCGATGTATTGGCGATGCATCGGCCATGCGGCGCGATGCTCCGACCCCATCTGCTCGGGCCCCATGGTAGGAGGCCTCTGGACATCCGACGGTGTGATCTTTTCAAATGCCCGGCGTGTCTCTTCGGTCTCGGCCTTTGGGGCCCGCTGCCAGTTACCAGGGCGAGCAAGAATGAGTCTGGGACGAAAAGCTATGAATCACCCTGGGAGAAGGGGTCGAGGTTCCTTCGAGCGACGCAATCCATACATGCCCACTGCTCCCTGGCCAGGCTCATCCTGAACCCCGGAGCTGTGTATACGCCCTCCTGACTTGGCCAGAAGGGCGTGGCGTATACACCGCTGCTGGGTTCAGGATGGGCCTGGCCAGGGAGCAGTGGGCATGTATGGATTGCGTCGCTCTGTTTCTGGGGTCGTGCATGGAAACTGAAACACATCGTCGGCTATCTGGGGGGCGTCACAAAAAGATCGAGGCGGCCGGCCTTCTCTCGATCTGGATCCCTGTTGAGGCCCGTTCCAGTCCTCGGGCCCGTCAAAACCTAGCCCAGGATGAGAGATCGGTTCTGGAGGCGGGGGTGCGAGAAAACGCGAGGGGTCGAGAGCTCCTGGGGGGCGCGCATCACCAAGCCAATCGCGGCGTCGGGCGTCCAGGTCCGTGATAAATTGGGTGCTGCGCATGGACAGCCAGGAGTCGGAGGGCACGAACTACGCACACCTACGCCGATCCTGACCAGGCCCATCCTTTGCCCAGGATCGGTGTACTGGTATGGCCTCCTGGCCAAGCCAGGAGGGCGTATACACCGATGCTGGGCCCAGGATGCGCCTGGCCAGGATGGGTGTATGCTTATCGTTGGCGCCCTCCTGAGGAGTACGACTCGCTCGCTCGGGCGGCCGACCTGGCGCTCACGCACGGGCCCGACGCCTTCATGTACGGTTGGCTTCTCGCCGAGCTGAACCGCACGGGTGGCTTCCGGGAGGCTTAGGGCAAAGAAGCGGCACGAGCGTGATTTGTCGGAGGTCCGCGGATTTGTTGGGCTGGCGTTGGACCCATCCCCACACCTCTTCCGCTTTTTCATTTTACAGGTGGCCGCTTGGGCCGCAGGTGATTCCCGCACATCGCCCTGGCCGCTTCTTCTTAGTCTTCTCAGTGTTTTATTATTGCTCTCATGAGTATTATTGTTGTTTTTATTCGTGTTTTCATATTTACTAGTAGCGTTCTTAGTATTATTATTATTGTTATTATTGGGATGGGTGTTGTTAGTACCATGATTGTTACTGATCGTATGTTTTTTGTTAATCGCATTGTTAGTACGAGTTGTATGCTTTGGTTTCTTCATTTTATCATTATTATTGTTATTGTTTTCCTCATCCTCGTTACTCTCGTTCCTCCTCCGTGAGCTTGCGATGCTCGTGGACAGTGGCCTGGCGGCGGACGTTGGCCAATGCATTTTCGAGTAACCGTGGGACGTTCGTGTGCGGGGGGGCGAAAGGAACAATTCCCCACACCCCTACAGATACGTTACGCACCACAAGCTCTCGCCGCCAAAGGGGTGCGGAGAGGGGGATCTGACGCCACCCGGAGAAATCCGCGCTGACCTCCGGAAGTTTGTTTTCAACGCAACCCATGGATGGTGCAACCGCGAACCAAGGGTGGCGCAACCCAGGGCACGCCTCCTTGCAGCTTTCCCGCGGCTATGCCCGATTCAGGCTCGCCGTTTGGGTAGGCGGCGCGGCTCAAGCGGTGATCTTTTCTGTGGCTGCGCAACAGTAGCCTTTGGTCCTCTGAGGAGGCCCACCTGGTCCAGTTCCTGCAGAGGTCCATGCACCGGCTCTCGCCATGAGGGAAAGCGATCCTGCGGGAAACGGATCCCCAGACCCCATGGGGCCCTCCCGTCGGGACCGGGTCCTCATCCCGAGCCGTTTTCTGCGGTCATTGGGCCTGTGAACGGCCCCCAGAGCCCGAGATGGGCCAAAGTCTCCGGGGCCCGCTTCCCTCGAGTCCCGTTCCTCTCATGCCAAGGTTCAGGTCCGGGCTGGCCCAGAACTTCGTTCCGCCAGCCCACCTGTGCCCGGCCTGCTGCCTCCACGGCCACCGCCGGCAGTTCGTGGTCGTGGCGAGGAACCCGTGCCCACGAGGAGCATCGAGGTTCAAGCATCGAGAGCTTCGGATGCTCGTGTCCTTCTCCGGAGACCTCCAGACCAGAAGCATCTCACCCTCCGCGGCGCGAAGAGGATTGCGCCTCGCGCGTCGCTATCTGGGCCGGAGAGGGCGCCCTTCCCTAGGGGTTCTCTGGGGGGCGGCGCGTGGGCGCGAAGACAATCTCGCGCATCGTTCATCGCGGGGCGCGACGCGCGATGGTGGGTGACCCAGAATCATTGTGTAGACGCTCCAGAGACCTCCAGAGGCCCGAAAACGGGTGGAAGCGCTTGTAAGCCTGATTCTCTGAGCCCCGACGTCGCGATTTGCTCGCAGTGTGGACCCCTGGAGGTCTGGACCTCTTTCCAGAGCGCAGGCGTTTCGTCTGGAGCCGTTTCTTGCCGGTCTTTCGGGCCCAGCGAGGGTTCGCCAGAGGCAGAACACACAAGAAAGCAGAAGAGCGCCGCGATCTTGTCACGACACGAGGGGGCCTGGGCTCGATGCTTGACGAGGTGCCACAGACTGCTCGAGCCCCTCCCTGGGGGCCGCTTTTCGTCCAGGATCCATGCCTCAGGGCCCGGGGCCCGGAATCGGCCCTCAGAGGCAGAGATAGGGAAGGAAACACTAGGATTGAAAAGGTCACGTCGTCGAAGGTCTGGGGATTGCTTGGCGAGGTCACCACGTGCGTGCACAAGGGGTTGGAGCGGGGGGGAGGGGAGCAGCCTTCTGACAGCGCGGGGTCTTCTTAGAAGACAGGGGCCTTCTCAGAAGGGCACGGAGGCTTCCAACAAGGCATCCGAGAAGCCTGGAGGACATTGAGAAGTTCCCTTCCTTTTAGAGCCCCCCCTCCGCGTTCTCAGAAGGCTGCCAGCCTCGCGCTAGTCCCTTCCCCAGGATTCCCTCCTGAGCCCATTCGGCGTCTGAGCCTGTTCGGCCGCCGGACGGGCTCAGTTCCCACGACCCTGTCGAACTTGAGCCTGTCTGACTGCTCATTCGGCGGCTGAACGGTCTCAGACGCCGAATGGGCTCAGGAGGGACTCGCGGGGTGGGGAAGGCTCGCCGGTCGTCCAGGTACGTGCGCATCGCGTCCCTGTTCAAGTACGACCTGCTGAACTCGGACGGTCACTCGCCACACCTGCCCTGGACACGCTGGCGGTTCTTCGGGCCATGGTTGGAGCACCTGGCGGCACAGGGTGTCACCAAGGGAGTCCGTCGCTGGCGGCGCGCACCAGGGAATTGCCGTACCTTGCGTCTGCTTCAGAGCTAGCTGAAGACTGGAGCGCTAAAGCTTGCTGAGCGGAATACGCTCATCTAGCATCTTGGCCTCGCCTTGGGCGGGTTCGGGATGCTCCTGGGGCGCATACAGGGTGGGTGTGGGCGGGGAGGGGGGCGCGAGGAGGGCGGCATTCTAAGAAGGCGGGGGGCTTCTTAGAAGGAAGGGACCTTCCCCAAAGCCATCTGGTCTTTTGCAGTCAACCCGCACAAGAAGGATGAGCGACTTTCCACGGTTCCCCTTGCTTCCTTCCCCTTCGGCCCATCCTTGGCCGCTTTCGCTGGCCGCGCCCCGCTCGCAAAGTGTCGACGTGGCCTTCCCCAGGCCCTTGCACCCTTATCGCGCGTCCTTGTCATACGGGTTGACTGTGAGGCGCCTTCCCTGGTGAAGCATCCGGGCAAATACTACGAGGGCCCACGCCCCCGAAGAAGCCCCCCGATAATACGAGACCGCCCCCGTCTCCCGCCACCCCGTTGTGAGCGCCGCCAGCCTGGCCGAAGGCGTACCCAGTACAGTCGGCCCTGACTAGCAGGTCGACCCTGCCAGATCATGGGTACCCTGGTGTCCTGTGTCTAGCGACCCATGCCTCCTACATTCCTATGGCGATGTGGCCCTCGGAAAAGGGTCCTGTGTCCTCTCGCATGTCCTGTCCAGTCAAGTCCGATTGGATCTCTGTGGAGGCCCTCACGGCTTCCCTGGGTCACCCGCGGTGGCGCGAAGGCAATCGCGCTTCGCGCGTCGCGGTCTGGCTGAGAGCGGAGGTCCTTCGCCGAGGGGGTGTCGCGATGGCGCGAAGAGAACCGCGCATCGCGGGGCGCGATGCGCGAAGTCAGGTGACCTGGGCTTCTGGAGCACACCTCACGAGGACCGGAGGGCCTCCCTGGGCTCCGAAGTGGCGCGAGTGTCTGGGGACACATCGGGCCAGGCGTTCCTGTGGCAACCCATCCGAGGTGGGCAGGGGGACCGTCCACAAGCACACGCTGACCGACGAAGAGGAGTCGACACGAGAACCATGAAGACGGCGTCGACGCCTTCGTACCCGAGGTTTTCGGGGCGTTTCTGGTGAGTTCTCGGCCGCTGCGGCTGGACGCGGCTTTCAGAACTTGCCAGGGTGGATCCTTGGGGGGATCCAGGGACCGACGAAAAGAAATGGAGGAACAAAGAGAGGGGAGAAGAGGGAGGAGGAGGACGAGGAGGAGGAGGAGGCGGAGGACGAGGATGAGGAGGACCTTGCGCTGGCAATACATCAAGGAAAGTAGTAGAAAGAGGAGCAAGGGGAGGACGGGGGGGGAGAAGGAAGCAGAAGGAGGAGCAGAAGGAGGAGGAGGAGGAGGAGGAGGAGAAGGGAGGATCCAGATGAGGATGGGGAGGAGGAGGAGGAGGAGGAGGAGGAGGAGGAGGAGGAAGTGGGGCTTAAAGATAAGGATAGGGTGAGGAGGTGGAGAGAAAGGAGAAAGAAGGGGGGAAGGTGTAGCGGGGAGGAGGGATCAGGAGGAGGAGGAGGAGGAGGAGGAGGACGATGACCAGAGTGAATCCAAGACTTCTCAATGATACTGCAATACAACCTCCCGTCCCAAGTCCTCTTCTGATTTGTCCCCAGAGAAATTGTATGAAATTGTGTTAAGGCTCACGCCACACCGCCGACCTTTGGGGTCTTTCGGTGTCCCGAGCACTCTCTTACTGTCGCCATGGAACAGCGCTTGCCTTCGTTAGCCCCTTGGGGGGCCGGTCCAGCCAGAGGCATAGGTCAGCTTGGTGATGGTCAGCCGTTGTGGCCCGCTCCCCAGTCACAGTGAAACGTTGGTTTTGTATTGATGGTGCTGCTGCTAAAATCGTGCCGCCCGGCGCACGCAGAGGCCCCGTTGGTCCAGGGTGTTCGTGAGGTGCCTCGGGCGAGCCCTTTGGAGGCTCTTTGGGAACTGTACGCAGGGCTTCTGCGGGCGCTTCTCTGTCTCCGAGGGCACAGGAGTCCGTCACCGTCACCAGAGGAGGAGGAGGAGGAGGAGGAGGAGGAGGAGGAGGAGGAGGAGGAGGAGGAGGAGGGGGAGGAGGAGGAGGATGCAGGAGGCGGGGGAGGAGGAGTACGAGAGGGTCAGGGCGCCTCTCGCAAGCAAGAGCGCGACAGCGGTGTACCCTGGTAGCCTCAGTCATGGGAAGCCGGATTCCTCGCGCTTCGCGGGGTGCACGTCCGGAGCGCGCAGTGCATGGGCATTTGGAGGGCTCCTGGGAGCCTCTTTGAGGCCATTTGGGGGCTTCTTGGGGCCATCTTGAGGCCTTTTGGGGGCGTCTTTGGCCGTCTTCGGACGCTCTGGAGCTGTCTGGCGCCTTCGGAGGCTGTGTTGGTGGCCTCTCTGGAGCCGTCTTGGGGCCATCTTGAATGCTTCATTGGCCGTCTTCGGGCCCTCTTGGAGCTCTCTTGGGCCGTCCATCTTGGGGCGATCTGGCGGACCTCTTGGGCTGTCTTAGAAGTTTTGAAAACTAGGGCAGATATGCTGAAAATGTGAGCTTCCTATGGGAAGGGGGCGATTTTTTCTGGTTGGGGCCCTCTAGGGGGTCCTCTTGAAGCTCTCTGGAGGCGTCTTGAAGGCTTCCTGGGCTATCTTGAGGCCATATTGGAGCATCTTAGGGCCACCAGGGGCCATGTGGAAACCATTTTGGGCCGTCTTGGGGCCTCGCAGAGCCATCTCGAGGCCGTCTGCGGCCATCTGGGAGCATTTTGTGGGTAGACGAGGCCGCCAGCCCTTTTCCCCCGAGCCCCCCCCTCCTCCAAAGCAAACTGGCCAGACCAGGCTCCCAGGGGAGGGGCTAGACGCCGAGTAGACCCAAGGGGTCGGCGATTTTCAATGCGCGAAGCTCCCCCTTGAAACAGAAGCGCACCCATGGTCCTTGGACCCGCGATTCAGGCTGGAGCTCCGTTGGGAAGGAAACTGCCCTCCATCCTTCGAGAGCTTTTTGGACTGCGATACGGAGGGGCTTGAAAGTTCAAGGATGAGCTCAGCGACAGCCCTCCGTTGAAAAGGAGCAGCCCTGCATCCACGCAGTCGGTGCGCATGCTTTAACCGCTGGCTTAAGGATCATAAGAAGTCCCAAGCGGTTGGCAGTGTGCCAGACTCCATCAGCGTGATTGCTGAACTCGCACAAAAAAAACAACAAACACGTGCGCGGCAATGATGGCCTTCCATCCATATATTTGTTGGAGGTTGAAGACGTACGCGCGCGGTGTAAAGGCGAGAGCCACATTTGAACACGACGGCCCTCCATCCGTGCAACGCTTGAGAACTTCAAAGCTTCGGGAGTAAAATCAGTAATGATGACGCCCAGCCTAGCTTACGGACACGCCTGTTGGTGCGGCGCGGGGGAATCAGTCATTTATTGAAGACGCCTACGGCGAATCACCGCCGCCCCCTGCCTTTTTGGAAGCGCCTATGTGGCCAGACCTGCCAAGCTATCGGACCACGTGTTCCCCGAATCGGTTTGGAAAGCCTTCGGGGAACACGTGGGCATCTTGAAGGTCATCTTGGCCGTCTTGGAGGCCTCTTGGGCAAGCTTTGGGCGATCTTTGGGGCTTTTTGGGCCGTCTCGGGCCAGCTTCGAGCCAACTTCGGCCATCTTGGTGGGTTCCTGGCACGTCTGAAGCCGTCGGAAGCCGTTTGGGGGGCCTCTATGGGCCGACTTGGGGCCCGCTTGGAATGCTCCAGGGCCGTCTTGGAGGCCATCTTGGGCGTCTGGGAGGCCATCTTGGGCGTGTTGGAGGCCTCTTGGGCCCTCTTGGGGCCCTCTAGGGGCCATCTTGGAGGCCACTTGGGCCATCATGGGGCTCTCTTGGGGGCCTCTTGGGCGATCTTGGGGGCTTCTTGGGCCGTCTCGAGCCGTCGGAGAGCCGAAAAGGCGCAAATGCCAGAATCCTTCAAAAACCAAGGAAAAATCAATGATTTTGGCCTCTTCGGACTCTCCTGGAGGACCTCTTGGAGGCCTCTTGGGCCGTCTGGGAGGCCTCTGGGGGGCCTCTTGGGCCGTCTTGGGCCGTCTTGGACTCTCTTGGGCCGTTTTGGAGGCCGTCTTGGACCATCTCGGGCGGACTTGGAGGCCATCTTGGGCCATCTTCGCGATTTTTTGAGGATGTCCCGAGCGAAACGGCCGTTTTTTGGAGGATTTTTTCCGGTCGTTGAGCACGTTTGGGGGCCTTCCGGGTGGCCGGCGGGTTCTGCCGGAGCCCACTGGGGAGTTCTTTTGGAAAAAGAACCAAAACCAAAACCTGAAACATCCAGCACGCCGTGCACCCCTGCAAGCAGGGGGCGGCGGATCGAAGACGCCTACGGCGAATCACCGCCGCCCCCTGCCTTTGTGGAAGCGCCTATGTGGCCGAACGTTGAGGCCAGACCTGCCAAGCCATCGGACCATGTGTTCCCCGAATCGGTTTGGAAAGCCTTCGGGGAACACGTGGGCGTCTTGATGGTCATCGTCGCCGTCTTGGAGGCCTCTTGGGCGATCTTTCGGCGATCTTTGGGGGCTCTTGGGCCGTCTCGGGCCGTCGGAAGGCCGAAAGAAGGGAAATGCCCAAATCCATCAAAAACCTTGGGAAAATCAGTGATTTTGGCATCTTTTGGCCTTCCTGGAGGCCCTCTTGGGGGCCTCTTGGGCCCTTTTGGGCCAGCTTCGAGCCAACTTCGGCCATCTTGGTGGGTTCCTGGCACGTCTGACGCCGTCGGGAGCCGTTTTGGGGGCCTTTCTGGGCCAACGGGGGACCCTCTTGGGGCGCTCCAGGGCCGTCTTGGAGGCCATCTTGGGCGTCTTGGAGGCCATCTTGGGCGTGTTGGAGGCCTCTTGGGCCGTCTTGGGGCCCTCTAGGGGCCATCTTGGAGGCCACTTGGGCCATCAGGGGGCTCTCTTGGGGGCCTCTTGGGCGATCTTGGGGGCTTCTTGGGCCGTCTTGAGCCGTCGGAGAGCCGAAAAGGCGCAAATGCCAAAATCCTTCAAAAACCAAGGGAAAATCAATGATTTTGGCCTCTTCGGACTCTCCTGGAGGACCTCTTGGAGGCCTCTTGGGCCGTCTGGGAGGCCTCTGGGGGGCCTCTTGGGCCGTCTTGGGCCGTCTTGGACTCTCTTGGGCCGTTTTGGAGGCCGTCTTGGACCATCTCGGGCGGACTTGGAGGCCATCTTGGGCCATCTTCGCGATTTTTTGAGGATGTCCCGAGCGAAACGGCCGTTTTTGCGCACGGTGGCGGGTTCTGCCGGAGCCCACTGGGGAGTTTTTTTGGAAAAAGAACCAAAACCAAAACCTGACAGCTCGTCCAGCACGCCGTGCACCCCTGCAAGCAGGGGGCGGCGGATCCAGCTGCTTGCGGCGACTCCCGCCACCGTGCCTGCACAGCATTCTAGGTAGCGGTTGTCGTGACGCGTGACATCTCGTGTACCCAGGTTTGGGGGAGCCATAACATGTGACATGCTCATCCACGCCGTATCAAGGGTTATCTTCTTGCCGTCGTCGTCGTCGTCGTCGTCGTCGTCGTCGTCGTCGTCGTCGTCTTCTTTTCTTTCTTCTTCCTTTCTTGGGCTCCTGTGGGGCAACCTTGGGATCCCTTAGTACGTTGGACCATCTTGAGGCTCTCTCGGGCCGTCTTCGGCCACTTGGGGCTCTCTTGGCAGCCTGGCTGGTCTTTCGCGGTCGTCTTGGGGTCGTCTTTGGGCCATCTTGGGTCCCTCGGAAGGCCCTCTTAGGCCAGTATGGGGCTATTTTAGGGCCGTCCTGGGCCGTCCAGGGGCCCTCTTGGGGCCGTCTTGGAGGAGTATTGTGCCCATCCTGGGGGCCTCTTGGGCCGTCTTGGGGCCATCTTGGGCCGTCTTGGGGGCATATTGGGTCATCTTTGCGGCTTTGGTTGCCTGCCTCGGCCATCTTGAAAGCTCGGGAGCGTGGACCCATAGTTTCTTGTTCAAAAAACGATGAGGAACTGCAGTTGTTTCTCACAGGCTGTGGCGTCAGGAGCGCGGGGCCATGGTTTCTGTACGAGGGATCGTGGCATCGGGAGCGCGGAACCATAGTTTTCCGTTTGCGAGGGGTCGTGGCCTCAGGAGCGCGGATCGATCGTTTGTTCTACGAGGGAACGGGGAGGGGTGATGCATGCAGGTGGTTGTGGCGGGGAGGGGGTGCGCCCTTCAGAAGAGCACGGACACCCCGCCAGACATTATTCAGGAGGGGACAAAAACACACAGACACAATTAATCGGCGATTCCCCAGAAAATATGGGAAAATATGGGAAGTGGGGGGGAAGACAAAAAACCAGAAAATATAGGAAAATATGCGGAATCCTTTTATTTGTGCGTATTTATTTGTGTGTCTCAGGGCCCCTTCAATTATATGGCATTTAACCACGCTTCAACGTGCCAGGGGGTCCGGTGGCGGACAAAGAAGAGGGGTGGGGGAGCAGGAGAAGAAGGATGAGGACGACAACGACGTTGACGAGGACGAATACAAGGACAAGGAGTTAGAGGCAGGAGAAGGAGGGCGGGGGCACCGTTCACAATCACACGCTGACCAACGACAACGGGTCAGCACGAGAATCTTGGAGACGACGACGTCGGCGTAGTCGTTCGGGAAGTTTTCGCGCGGTTCTGTCGGCTCCCGCCGGCACGACTTGCGGCGTCTCGCAAAAGCGTCGGGATGGACACATGGAAGAATTCAGGAACCGTCCATAATCACATGTTGATCGACAACGAGTCGACACGAGAAATCCAAGATCCCATACCCGGCGTCTTGAAACAATGCAGACAGGTTTTGCGCTGTCGTCGGCTTTTGGAGGCCATGTCCAGGCACGAGAATTGACAAAATACGATTCCAGATTCAAAGCTGTCACTGGGATCGAGGATGAAGTTTGCTGTTTTTTGCGTTGCTCATCCTTTTGGGGCCTCTGGGAGGCTTCTCGTCGCAAATGATGACTCCCCTTCGAAGCTCTTGCCAGAACGCGCTCCAAGAGAGGTCCAGGTCGGTATTTAGCAGTGTCGCCACGAGTGTCCTGAGGGAAGGGCGTCCTGAGATTTTACTGTTTTCGGTCTCCCAGAGCCCCTCCCGAGCCCGTGACCGTTCAAGCAGGACTCGGGATGGAAAGCCGCCCTCGGGGGACGCGTCCAGGGTCCCGGACCTGAAGGCGCCCTCGAGGGCGCGAAGTTATTCGCGCTTCGAGCTTCGGCACCGATTCCTTCTCACCCTCCTCTTCGCCCCCGGGGGGGGCGGCGCGAGAGCGCGAAGCTCTTCGCACCTGCGCAGCGCGAGAGCGCGAAGTGAGGCGCCCTCGAGGGCCCGCTTCCCTCCGGACCCCGCTGCCGCCACGGCCACCTCCCCGACCTCTCCAGGGGCGCGCTCGGACAAGGACCCCCAGGGTGAGCCAGCCCCGGCGAGGGCCCCCCCCCCCAGGAGGCCCCAAAGGACGAAAGCGAACGAGAGAGAGAGAGGCATCGGCATGGGTATTTGATGGTACGATTTGGGGGTTTGGGGGGGGTCCCTCGGTCCTCGGCGAAACAGGCTCAGCATCGCACACAAATACACACACACACGCACACGCACACGCACACGCACACGCACACGCACACGCACACGCACACGCGCACGCACGCACGCACGCACGCACGCACGCACGCACACACACACACACACACACACACACACACACACACACACACACACACACACACACACACACACACACACACACACACACACACACACACACACACACACACACACACACACACACACACACACACACACACACACACACACACACACACACACACACACACACACACACACACACACACACACACACACACACACACACACACACACACACACACACACACACACACACACACACACACACACACACACACACACACACACACACACACACACACACACACACACACGCCTGGCACACCAATGCACCAGGATCTCAGAAGTGGATAGTCGTCGTGCCCCCCCCTTCCCCCCAGGTCTCGAGACTATCCATCATGTCCACTGCTTCTGGAGGTCCAGGGGCGCCAGTTTCCTGGCCGGTGGGCGTGTGCGAAGCCCGGCCTGAGAGTCTCCTACCCCCGCCGAGAGGAGGCCAGGGTCGCCTGGCCCGGCCGCCAGAGGCTCTCCCCGGAAGCCGCCAGAGGCCCCGAGGGGCCCAGAAAGAGCCGACAGCGCCCGAAGGCTTCGGTCCCTCGTCGCCTGCCGCGGCGGTCCCTGAGATCCTGGCGTTGCGTTTTTGTTCGCAACGGGCGTTTTCGCCCGGTTTCGGGCCTCGGGACCCTCACAGATCGGTCCGGCACCAAAGATGACGCAGACAGATGTGGTGTAGGGCTCCAGTCGTCATTTGTTATGGTGTTTTTCGATGTTTCCCCGACGTCGGATCTCAGGGGTGCATCTCCTATGGGGGAACAAGCAATAGCATAGACACAACAACTCAGCGCGAAATCCTCGGATCGGCGCTGGGGCTCCTCGCGCCAGGGAGGGATTGTCCGGCGCCGATCCGAGAAGTCAGCGCGGACCTCCGAGCTGTTATGCTCGCGTCATTGTCTGTTCCCCTCTCCCAGGTCACCCCCGGGGGTGCGAAGATAACCGCGCTTCGGCGCTTCGCGCAGCGCGGCCTGAGCTGGGCTAGTGCATTTCTCAAGGGCGGCGAGAGGGCACGACGATAGCCACGCGTCGCGCACCGCGGGTCGCGCCGCGCGAGGGTAGGCGACATAGAATGCTCTTCCGCTCCCCAGAGGAGGCCAGGATCGTCGGCCACCTGATGCACCTCCGCCCCCTCGGCGAAATGGTCCGGGACAGGCCCCGCGGGCCTCCCGAACGAGGACCAGAGCAGCAGGTCGAGGCGGGGGCTTTGTCCATCGCCGCCGCGGGCTTGGGCAGGCGGTGGGTATGGACACGGCAGGTTCGCGTCGTTTGGATGCGGCTGCGACCCCGCCGCGGGCGTTCAAGGTCGAAGGCCGCCAGTGGCCCAGGGTCGGCCACTATGGAACAATGTAGCTGTTGAACAGCCGACGGTTGCCCAAGGTTGAACGATTCGCGCAGTGTCAGAGCCTCCTCGCCAGGATCGTCACGACACGAGCTGGCTATATATTCGGGCCCTGGGGGGGGGGCGGCAAATATGTCCGTATCCACTGCCTGCCGAGGTCCCGAAGATCGACCACCCAGGCGGTGGTGATGGATAAATCTCCGCCTCGCAAGCTGGGGTCGGAGGATCGCGCCGCATCTCCGATGTATCGGCGATGCGGCGCGATCTGGAGCTCGTTCTTCTCCATCCCGCCATCGCCGACGCATCACACATGCTTCGGCGATGTGGTGCGATCCTCCGACCCCGCTTTTTCAAGGAGGAACTGCACAAACGTTGTCGATGGTCCGCGCGGACTTGCGACAGCTCGTGTTTTGCGCTGCCAGGTTTCCTTCTGCGCAGCTCCCGTCTCCCCCGCCGGCAGAGCCTGGTCCGTCGCCCGCAGCTCCTTCTCCCCGGCCTGCGCCCTTCCTGCTTCCTTCTGTGCCCAGTTGGGCCCCGTAGTGCCTCTCGGCTGCCTCCGACCGCGACGTAGTTTCGCGCCGCTGCGACCAGCAAGTCCCTGTCCTGCTCATCTTCGACGGCGAGCCCAGGGGGAGGTGAAAAGGCGCTGGCCTTCTCAGAAGGCTCGGAAGGCCCCTGGCCTTCTCAGAGGTTTCCTAAGCCTCCTCCGTCCGAATGCAGGGGCGGCTTCTGAGAAGGCCGGAGGGCCTCTGAGAAGCCCCGCCGCCTTCCGAGAATCGACTACACGTAAGAGTGACCTGTCGCCAGAGAGACTTTCGGCTCCCAGGGGCCCCCCAGCACCTGGCCTGCGCGTTTGGATCTGGCCTGCTCGCGGCCCCCCAACGCCGCGCACCAAAGGTCACTCTTGCCCAGAGTCACTCTTTCGTGTAATCGATCCTCCTCCATCCGGCGCCGTCGTCGGCGCTGCTATGGCTTTGGCTACGCCCACGACCCCGCGACCCTGGCCGGCAGCCCCTGCAGCCCCGGCCGAAAGGGCTACGCCGTCGCCCGCGACTTCGGGGGGGGGGTCGTGGGATCGTGGGAAAAGCCAGAGGCCAAAGCCAAAGCCATTTGCGGCCACCCCGCCTGAAGGGCGGGGGATCCTCCTTCTCAAGTTTTTGGGCGCGCCGCCGAGTTTCTTCTTCTCCTTTCTTCTTCTGCCCCTCTGAGATCCGGCTCCGCCCTCGGCGCGCTCCGTGGGGGGGGGGTCTCGCCCTCGGCGGAGAGCCACCCGTCCTCGGCGTGGAAAGGCCCGCGGGAGCAGAGCGGCATCTCGGCTCCGCTGGCGGAGGTCGGCGGAGGTCAAAGCGAGATGACGTTCGGTCCATACGGTCGGGCCGAGGAGGAGGAGGAGGAGGAGGAGGAGGAGGAGGAGGAGGAGGAGGTCGATCGCCTGGAGCATCCGCGAGATCCCTGCGCCGCATGTGTGTCACGCCGGGCGTTGTCGCCCTTCTCGGGCCCGAGGGGCCCGCACCCGCGGGGCGATCCGGCCCGGGAGGTGCAGCGGAAGGGCGGGCGCTCGTGCCAGGAGGTGCCCCGAGATCCTGGCGTTGCAGTTTTTTCACACCGGGCGTTTTCGCCCGGTTGCGGGCCTCGGGACCCTCAGAGATCGATCCAGCTCGGAAGATGACGCAAACATGTGGGGTCTGGGGCTGTGGACGTGATTGCCTACGATGGTTCATTTTCTTGCGACGTCGGACCTCAGGGGGGGAGGAGGAGGACGAGGAGGATTAGGCGGAGGAGGAGGCGGAGGAGGAGGCGGAGGAGGAGGAGGAGGAGGAGGAGAAGGAGGCTGAGGCGCAGGAGCAGGCGGAGGAGGGAGGATGAGGTGGCGGATGAGGAGGAGGCGGCGGCGGCGGAGGAGGAGGAGGAGGAGGTGCGGAGCGGCAGCAAAGTCCGCTTGCCTTCCAAGAAGGCCAAGGGCCCCCTCTTCGCAGAGGAGGGAGTACATTCCAAATCGGTCGCACGGAGGTATCAGATCGAGGTCGGTTCGGGGAGGGTACCCTAACGTTCTTCGTGTTTGTTGGATGTTCACTTGTGCATCCTGGGGGAGATGTTTGGCTGGTGGAGGCTCTCATGTTCTTGAAGCATGTTCTTCTGACCTAGGTCCGACCGTACCCTTGCTGCTGCCCCCCACTCTCGGCACCAGCTGCAGCAGGGTATGGACAAACAAAACACGTGGCCTCGGAGGCCAGGACGTTCTCCAAATCCCCGCTCTGGCCCCTCGTGGAGGCAAGGGTGTGAGCAGGGGCATGGATAAAATGTCGATCGCAGGGCTTCTGGAGCGGGCCACTACTTTGCGAGGCCCTCTTCCGCAAGGCGGTTCGCCGCGGGCACTGGGGCGCTGGAGGACGGGCTCGCCCACGTGGTGCACCTGGAGACGCTGCAGCAGGACCTCCGGGTGTCCCCGTCCTTCCCCTCTTGGCCTCCCCCTGTGAGTTGGCGGCGAGCGAGGGAGGGAGTGAGAAGGAGAAGGCCCTCTCAGAAGGCGGCGGGTCTTCTCAGAAGGCCTCCAGCCTTCTGAGAGGTATCCTGTGTCCTCGGGGAAGGCTTAGATCATATCTCAGAAGACCGGTGGACTTCCGAGCCTTCTGAGAAGGCCCGCCCCTTCTCACTTCCGCCCCGAGCTCGCCGCCAAGTGAGCGATCCGGCGTCGCGAACACACTGCAGCACCGTGAAAAGTCACGACCAGAGCACTCAACCATGCCATGCTGCGGCAATTCCCGCAATGGACCGATCCGCGATGCTCCCCTGGGCCTGAAGCCATGGCGACAACGCCTGGTGGGGAAACATGCGACGCCCGCATCTCAAGGCCTTTCCTCTTCCAACCTCCGACGTCCAGCCTCCTCGTTGCCTTCCTTCTGCGTCTCGGCCATCAGGACCTCCAGGAGCTCGACCGGCTCCTGTGCTCGCGCTTCTCGCACTGCGCCTCCCTGCCCGAGTTCCCGCAGGCGCACGCGGCCCTGGCAGGGGCTGGATGGGCTCCAAGGGAGATGACAGAGGAAGAGGAGGAGGAGGAGGAGGAGGAGGAAGAGGAGGAGGAGGAGAAGGAGCAGGAGGTAGAACGAAGGATAAGGTGGGAAAGTGTAGTGGGGAAGTGGGGGAGGAGAAGGATCAGGATGAGGATGGGAGGTGGATGGGGATGGGAAAGTGTAAATGGGGCGGGGGGGAGGTTTGTGGAGGAGATGCGAGGAGGAGCGAGGCGGGGTATACAAACGGGGAAGCTTCTCTTCCTGCTCCTCCCCTTTGTCGTTGTCTTCCTCCTCCGCTTCCAGGTCCTCCTCCTCCTCCTCGTCCTCCTCCTCGTCCTCCTAGCAGGGTGGCTTGGTGGCGGGCACCAGAGCATTTTGCCCCACGCGGCGGGCGCCCGCGCCCCGCCATGGCCCCCAGCCCCAGGCCCTCGCCTGGCGCGCCCGCGGTCGCAGGCCTTCTGCAGCCGCCCCTCGGCACCCTCGTTCTCTTGGGCGCCCCAACGCAGGCCGCGTGCGGCCTGGCACCCCGCACGGTGGAGCGCTCACGGTCGCCAGCGTGGCATCGGAGGTTTTGGCGTCGAGGATCAGCGGCTCGGTCCTTTCATCGGGGAGAGCACGCTCGAGTGCAGCTTCTTAGTCATCACGCATCCAGACCGCCGGCAGTGGCAATAATAATCATGAATCTGCTGATAGCAGTCGTTGGGCTTGTGTGGCCTCTCGTCAGCGTGGATTCGCCAAGAACTTCAACACGAATGAGCGGTGCTACACGTGCGGGCGGGACAAGCAAGGACGGCCAGATCCTTCAGGAGCCACCCCGCCAGGACAGCAGCGCCGCGCACGTTCCTCATCAGGTACACGTAAGCCTCTTCCAGACAAAGGAGAGCAGGTGCCCGATGAAGCCGACCTCGCCATCGAAGTCCGCAGAGCTTTGCAGGCACTACGCAGACTTCAGCTGGATGGGAACAGCGAGCTGGTCATCAGTGCCAAGAAGCAGCCGGCTGCAGCGAAAGAGCGGGAGCGAGCAGGGCGCACGCCAGACGATATGCTACGACGGGCCCTTGACCGACATGCGGCAAAGCAGAGAGAGCACGATGTGTTGGCACGTACCGTCGAGAGTTTACAAGAGGAGCTCTCCACCAAGAGTGGGGAGGGCGGCTATCAAATTCTTTACGCTTCGCGTATCCCCACCAGCCCATCTCACAACAGCAACTCTTGCGAAGCATGCCGACAGTCGTGTTTTTCAGGCGTGTGTCCGCTTGCCCCCGCATATCTCCCCTGTTCCTCCTTCCTCCCGCCTCCTTGTACATCCTCCTTGTGGGGGGAGCGGGAGAAGGACGAGGCGGAGGAGGAGGGAGAGAAAGCGCTCCTCGTGATTTGAGTCGTTTGGGGTTTCTCGTCCTGGTGTGAGTCGTTCGGGCCCTTCTTCCTGGTGTGAGTCGTTCGGGCTCTTCGTGGTGTGAGTCGTTCGGGCTCTTCGTCCTGGTGTGAGTCGTTCGGGCTTCTCGTGGTGTGAGTTGTTCGGGCCCCTCATCCTGGTGTGAGTCGTTCGGGCCCCTCCTCCTGGTGTGACTCGTTCGGGCTCCTCGTGGTGTGAGTCGTTCGGGGCCCGCGTCGTGGTGTGAGTCGTTCGGGCTCCTCGTGGTGTGAGTCGTTCGGGCGCCTCGTCCTGGTGTGAGTCGTTTGGGCCCCTCCTTCTGGTGTGAGTCGTTCGGGCTCTTCGTGGTGTGAGTCGTTCGGGCCCCTCGTCCTGGTGTGAGTCGTTCGGGCTCCTCGGGGCCTCTCGGGGGCCTCTTGGAGCCTCTTCTCTTGGGGGCCTCTTGGGGGCCTCCTGGGGCCTCTTGGGGCCTCTTGGGGGCCTCCTGGGGGCCTCTTGGGGGCCTCTTGGGGCCTCTTGGGGGCCTCTTGGGGGCCTCTTGGAGGCCTCTTGGGAGCCTCCTGGGGGCCTCTTGGGGCCATCTTGGGGCTTCTTGCGACCTGCTCAGAAGCGCAAATGAGCGCTGCCCCCTGAGAAGGACAAAATGAGCCCAAAACCTTCGTAAAATCAATGATTTTGCTATGAAGGAAGAGGAGCGTTGCCCCCTCAGAAGGCCAAAATGGGGCCAAAACCGTAGTACAATTTATGATTTTGGCTTCACAGAAGAGGAGAGGGTTTTTTCTCCGGCCCCCCGTCGGGGCCAGAATCCTCGTGAGGGGTGTCGTTTTTTAGCCCTCCCAGGAGTCGAAAAAGACCCCTCCAACGACCCGCGGAACCCCCTCTCCAGGTCCAGGGGGAGGGGGTAGGGGGAGGGGTAAACCCCTCCCCGAAGGGGAAGAAGGGGGGTTGAGGACAGAGGGGGCTCTCTAAACCACTCACGCCCTAAAGGGCTGGTGGGACTCAAGAGTGGTGTCGCTCGCTCAGCGGTCATGGCGGCGGGTAGCCACGATGGCACGACCCACAGCATGGACACAACATTCCAGAAGCTACAGAGTGTCGTGGCCGCCGCCCCAGCAGCAGTCACAGCGGACAAAACCGCCATCGCGATGGCCGCTCTTCAAGAGCACGTTGTCGAGCTGCATCGAGCGCTTGAGAGTCACAAGCGAGTTGCACCGCAGAGCGGCTCACCTGACCAAGCCAAAGGGGCGGGCAAAGGGCATGCGCCTGGCACGCCTTATTGCCCATATGCTCCTTGGGGCGCCCGGGTTCCCAGAGACCTCAATGAACCTACCGACGCAGGCGGTGAGTCAGGCATGGGCACAGAAGGAGAACTTTGACAACCAGGTGATGACTTCCAGACAACTTGCCTTCCGCAGTTTGGATTCCCGCAGCGAGAGTCAAGCGACAGTCTCATTCGTTCGGAGCTGGATGGTGGAGTAAGCCCTGGGTCTGCTGGGCCTCCTCCTCAGCACCCTATCCTGCATCACGGCAATGGTGGTGGGATCTCTAAGTGCAGTGCTGCAAGTCATGGGAATGGGCACGCAGACCTATTTACATCATCAGTCAGACCATCAGCAACAAGTCCTGCCTCTCGTGCTAATTTGTCGGCACCAGGCCCATCAGAGGCTGTGACGGGTAGTCCAGAATGCCTATCGCAGCCCTTGTCTTTCGGGGTCGCCCTGACCCACTCTTTAGTTATTTCGCGTAGTCGTCAGGCCTCCTCACAACTTGGACGCGCGGATGCTTGTGTTCGATCCATTGGGGTACACATGGCGGAGAGGAGACCTCGAGGCGACCATGGAGACGAGCCTCCAAGAGAGCTGATAAACGCAAACTTGTCTTTGCCACTTTCAATGCTAGTGGATGGCCTCAAGCACGCGACGTACTGGACAGCTCATTGCACATCGGTGTGGTCATGATCCAGGGGCTCAGGCCACGTGGGGATGAATTTCTACGCGCACAGGAGTGGGCAGCCAAACGCGGATGGAAGTCATTCCTTACCGAGGCATTGGAGGGTGAAGAAGTCACGTCTGGAAGTGGAGTTGGCCTTTTCACCCGCTCTCGTAATGGAGCCACGGTCCTACCAGACATGGTCGACTCCCACGTGGCGGTGCCTGGGTACTTCGCGCTGGTGCATGTGCACGCGGGCCCGCGGCAGGGTTCCCTGGCCGGTTCCATCTACATGGGGGAGGGCCAGAAGCTTGCAAGGGACAGTACTGCCAAACTGCGTCAGATGGGCGGCCTCCTGTCTTACTATCGGCTGCCGTGCGCTATTGGGGGAGACTGGAACATTGGTCCTGACCGACTTGAGCTACCTGAGAGGCTGAGAGGGCCGATGGCTGCCAGTACTGATGGTACCTACCGCGACCCGACCAGTGGCAGCTACTCCTGCCTTGATGACTGGTTGGCCTGCGATTCTGTTGCCGGCGCCATACTCACTCTTCATGGGATCGCATTATTTCCCCCGCGCAATCATCATGCTAGTCAGATCACGCTTCATGGCGCTGTCCGCTCCGTCATGGCTTTCAAGGGCCCCCGGACTTTCCCATGCGCTCCCGGCGCCAAGGTACGCGAGGATTTGGAAGACGATGATGGCGAAGTCGTCTTTGATCAACATCGAGGGGCGCCACTTATCGCCCGGGCGGAGTTGGTAAGGCAGGGTGCCGAGCAGCGGCTCGGCATGCATCAGGGTCACGAATCACGTCCCATGCGCCTCTCCTCCGCTTTATTTCAAGGAGTCGAGGCCTGGCTTCTCCCTCTTTCTAACATCGATGAGGGAGCGCGTCGCAAATGCCTCGGCCGGTCCTCGGGCCCCAAGTACTGCCGATCAGTCTCGGGAGTTACTTTGGCGCGCTGCCAGCCCGCAGGCGCGCAGTATGATTGCGCCCTACGCCTGTCGCAGTTACGCGTCAATGACGCGCGCGTGGCGATTGGCAAAGGAACAGCTCGCATTGCGTGCGTGCATGTCGATGCCTTTATGATTCCATGGCAGGGATGAGGCGCGAAGGACGCGCGCGCACTCGCATTCCCCATGCCGCGCGTGAAATTGTCGTCTGCGCCCTTCAAAAGGCGTGCGCGCAGCAGGACAATCACAGGGCATATCCTACAATTTGTTGGAGACGACCTGGGTCGATTGGCGCAGGTGGAAGAGCGACGACTCGCATCAGCTCGTTCCAGGTCTTTTTGCGCCATGGCTGCTTAGGCAGCCGGCGACGCAGCCCAGGCCCGTTCACCGATGGGCCAAGCCTCGCGGGTGGGGCCTTTCCCAATTTGATTCCGACACGGGCCGTCTAGTTTCCCTGGGGACGTCGTGGAATCGCAGCGTGGGCCCCTGGCTGAATTCTGGAATGGGGCCGCTCAGGAACCTCGGGAACATGTTGGCAGTGTCCACGATGAACGGGGTCAAGATGATCTGGTGGCCGAAGCGAGGCGCGTCTCTGAGGCTGGCCCCAGGCTGCCCCCCAAAAGCATCGCCGAGTTGGGGGCCGCGGCCCTCCAATTCCTTAGGCGCGCGGCTGTTGGGGCGGATCGCTTTCGGCCACGTCGCCGGGCATTCGCATCCAGT